AGGCTTAGCAGCCAAGCTCCTAACTTTTTTTTTTTGCTTTGGCTCCGTGTGAAGTCATAACTGAGTTTACTCTTGCAATAAGATATAAAATAATGGAGTGGGTTTTTTTTGTAGACATATAAAGTTTTGTTTTGTATCCATTCACAACCTGAAGCACATGCTTTGCCTACTTAGGTGTCTGTGACTTAAGGGTAGACGCCAGGGAGCTCCTGGATACAGCCAGCAGCATTGCCTAAAGCTGCTACAGTCCTAGGGTTTACCTAGGAATGAAAAGAGTGCTGCTGCTTTAAAGGCTGTAGCAGAGGAGAAATTTTAAATGGATCTTTACATATTTGCGAGACCCTAACCGGGTGTGACGGAGGAGGGACCTGAGGCAGATATAAGTCAAACAATGCTGCTGCTCAGTCTTAAAAAACATTATTTCTCCACTTTGCAATTCAGATTGGCACTAACCAGTGCACAATGAAAATAAACCAGAGTAATGCTGTGTTAGGAGAAAAATTAACCATATTAAAAAAATAAACCATCTTAAAAAAATTAACTTCCTATGATTTATTGTCTCAATTCTTTTCAGAAAATTTTCTTCAGAAAGAAGACAGGATCTAATCTCCTGCAGGAAAACTGGAGAAGAAGGAAGGTAACAGGAGTGAAACACAAAGCTGAAAGGCACACAAAGGTAAAGGTGGGGCATGAGTATACGAGTATTGATAAAAGGCATGCACAAGTAAGGTGACAAAGATGGAATGAATAGCCAGATTCTCAGAGACAGGCAGGAGACTGAGAGGCCTACTAAGCTATGAGTAAAAGCTGAGGATGGCATTGAGAAAGAAAGAAAACCAGAGAAACTGTGGGGAGTGACACTGAAAGAAATATGCATGGTTGATGAATATATGGTGATGGTGAGAAAGGAAACAGAGGAAACTGTACTAGAAGGCCAAAGTAAGCAGCTTGATGGGAATAAAAGACTGTTGGGAAATGTGGAAACAAGGACAACGCAGAAAACTGTGGAGCAGAGTAAGAATTTGATCAGGAGACAGATAGCAGTGTGGCAGATGGCTACAAACACAAACATGGCAACATGAGAGCAAACAGTGGAAACGTCCACTTCCATAAGGGACAAAGATAACCATTTTCACCTGACTTGATTTTGTGTAGACTTGAGTTTGAAAGAACTTAGATGAAAAAAATACTTAACATAATAATTAATTTTAAAAAAAAAGAGAATATTCCTAATTTTCTGATTTCAGGAAGAACAGTAAGAGTTTTGAGAAATACTGATGACACGAACTGAAGAAGTCCCCTTCTTTTCCCTCCTAAGGAACCATTTTTGAATTCCAGAACACTGCCTGTAGGATCTGAACAGACATTACAAAATTAACATAAATAAACATATCCCTCACTAAGCAGCAACTTCACCAACTAAACTTCCATGCTAAGTACACAGACCTTTTTTTCAAACACAAAATTAGTACAATCCTGTTCAAAAGTACTCAGGAGAAAGTGCACGTTGGGTATTCAGCTGGTGTTTATGGTGGGGTTTTTTAAGGTCAGGATAACACTCTTTTGGCAAGAGAGTCAGTTCAGGCTTGTGCTTTGATCTCATATTTGTTGAGCTTTTCACTCATACAACACAGCAGTATGCTAACCRTTCCATCTTTAAATTTCTTATATGCATAGTGTTCTGCTCAAGTGTTACGCTGCAGGTCTGTGCTGCTCACCCTGCTCCCAAGAAATGAAGAAAGGGGGTTTTGTTCTTCCAGTTTAAAATCAGCAAAACACAAAAAGATGTGTCACRCACAGAGACAAGTGTACCTATCTTACACGCTAATACCATCAGCTCACACTATCACAGTTCTCTCAGCATCTGTGTAGTTGGATCAAGGATGAACAGGATTGTTTCAGAGTTTTATCCTCTGCTATCTTTAAATTATTGTGGAAATATCCAGCACAGCTGAGAAAACTGATCACATTTTAAGTGTTACTCCACTTTTATTACAGACACTGTTCGGTGATCTAATTTCTCTCTAGTGGCTCCCTCTGTTCTCCGCTCTGCTAAGATGCCACCCTGAACACACAGGAATCTCTCCCTGRTTACCAGCAAACTTAAGAGAAATTGCTGCTGTTATTTCCTGCTGGACCTGGAGGTAGAAAACTCACCAAAACACCTTTCTTGTGTAACTGTGTTGATTAACATGCTTTCCCACCTCACTGCCATGAGATCCACCTTCATACCAGCACCTACCTCTGTGTTGTTTAACCCCAACCACCAGCCCCATGCAGCCACTCTCTCACTCTCCCACCAGAAGGACTGGGGAGAGAATTGAAAGGGTAAAAATTCACGGGTTAAGATAAGACATTTTAATAGGGAAAGCAAAAGCAAAACAAGGAATTCATTCCCTTTTCCCCATGGTTGGACACGTGTTCAGCCACCCCCAGCAGAGCAGGGTCCCATCACACATCATGGTGACTTGGGAAGACTAACTCTGTCACGCTAAATGTCCCTTGCCTTCCTCCTTCTTCTCCTCACTTTGTACACTGAGCATGATGTCATAGGGTATTCAATATCCCTGGGGYCAGCTGGGGTCACTAGTACCGGCTGTATGTCCTCAGCATGAGGAGCAGAAAAGGCCTTGGCTCTGTGCAGTCCCTGCTCAGCAATAACAAAAACATCTCTTTATCATCAACCTTGTGTTCAGCACAGATCCAAAACACTGCCCCATAGCAGCCCCTGGGAAGGAAATTACCCCAGCCCAAACCAGACTCCGCTTTAGAGAGCAACACTTCAGGTGCAGTGATAATGTAGTATTATTCATTTGAAGACCTGACTGAAAATTCARAGTTCAAGTAAAGATCTGTTGCAAAGTAGCACCAGTAGAGGTATCACTGCTGGCACGTTAGAGAATTTGGGTATATCTACATACGTTGCTGGCACAGTGGTAGCTACAGTGCAGATGTTGCTGGCCCAAGCTGCGACGTTTTTTTGTGTCACTATAGATTCGTTGTGGTCATTGCCACTGCTATTTCTCTCCTTCTCCATCACGTACGAGATAGTCTGAGTAGTTTTCACTGCCTAGCCATGAAACGGATGCCACTCGGTGGTGATAAACTAGCACTGCAGGGAGTGAAAACGACTACAACGTTTTAAATCCCATCAGTATCTCCGTGTCTGCAGCTGCACGCTCACCGAGCCCTGCACAGGGGGAAACAAAATCATACTGAACTGATTGTTGCCACAGAATGCAGCTTACTAATGTATTATGTCTTATTATCTATCAACTGGGGCAAGTCGATATTCTGCTCTAGAAAACAAACTGTTGTTTCTCGGTCTGCACACAAGTATGACAGAAAATAAGAATTAGATTTGTTAATGGTAAGACTAGCAAGAGATCACTTCGACTAAATTATGATCTCTTCGTTTAGATGAGMTGAAGATGGAAATGGCCGGGAAATAGAAATGAGCTGCATGTACATGGGTCAATTGTCAGGGAGTAAATGAGTCACTGGATGCACAGAAAGGAAGAGACATTGAGAATAAGAATTAATTCTGTGAATATGGTACTGATAAAAGGCAAATCAATGAAAATAATGGCTTGCTATTCATAGCAAGCTGAAATTATTCTGGGAAAAGTTCAAGTGTTTGCTATGTTGACTGGCATAAACCTTTTCCACAGAACAATTCTACAGATCCAGATATTTCCTGAAATTAATTATTGGTAGGCAAAGAACAAATTAAGGAGCACCTGTGAAAGCTGYACGTTTTCAGACTGCTTTGCTTAACTTCACCATACAGAGTGCAAAACTTAAAACCTTTTAAGAGTTCTTCTCACCAGAGTGTGAAAATTGAATGGAAAAGACAAAAATGATGTTTGGAAGATTTAGTAAGGAAAACCAGCCAAAAACTCACAAATAAGCAAAATTAACTTCCATCTCCAGAGGAGGGGGAAAAAAAGGTTAATATGCAAAAAAGGTGAAAGCAACAAACCTTAACAGGGATCCATATAGAACAGTGTCAAGTTACTGTACTTTGGCTTTGGGGTGACAAAATTATAGCATTCCAATGCCTGAAGGGAGCCTCTGAGACAGATGGAAAGGGACTGTTTACAAAGGTAAAGGGGCATGGCTTCAAACCTAAATAAAACATGTATGAGATTGGATATGAGGAAGGAATTGTTCCCTGTAAAGGGYGGTGAGGCTGTGGCACAGGATGCCTGGAGACGCTGTGGCTGCCCCTGGATCCCTGGAAGTGTCCGAGGCCAGGTTGGACATTGGGGCTTGGAGCAACCWGGGATAGGGGAAGGTGTCCCTGCCCATGGCAGGGGGTAGAACTGGATGAGATTAAAGGCTCCCTCTGACCCAAGCCATCCTGATTCCATGAATTTCCTTCAGCTCCTTCAAGTTAGCTGGTCTGGTGAACTAAGAAAAAGCGAATGTCCTGTAACTTGGAACTGGCAGATCTTTGGAAACGTTTCACTTGGCAAGCTCATGAGCAAACCAGYTTTGCTGCGAGCACTGCGCGATTGCTGCAATACTGGTTACAAATTTTGCAGGAGGCACAAGTTAACAATGGCCTTCACTACATAAAGAAAGATGTATTAAAGCATTTCTGCTGAGCTYTGACCGGGATCTGGTGTACATCAATACTCTCCGTTAACTATGAATAGATCGCATCAGCCTGAGAAAGACCACATGTAGAACCGACCGTACTAAATATTCTTGATGAGCTTCAGAAATATTCAACAGGTAGCAAAAAAAGAGAAAGAAAAATGTATCAGGGTAAGCGCAATGACCTGTGAACGCGGTGTACAGGGAAGCAGCACAAGCGCAGGGACGGCTCTGGGCAGGGGACACCACCGATCTCAAACTGACCAAAAAAAGGCAAACAAAAGGCACAGCACAGAGCTCCGGCGGCGGGAGCGCCGAGCAGCAGCCGCTGAGGGAGGGGCCGGGGCCGTGAGGCACCGCCCGCCCCGCCCCGCCCCGCCCCGCGCTGACGGCGGCCGGCAGCGGCCAAACCGCCCCCTGAGGGCTCTCCCGCCTCTCCCGCCCCGCGCCGCCGCTCCGGGTGCTCCGTGCCCGGCCATGGAGCTGTGGCAGGTGCCGCTGAGCTTCTCCCGCCTCCGCATGTTCCCTTTCTTCGACCTGGCGCATTATGTCGCCTCCGTGCTGGCGCTGAAGGAGCAGCGGGGTGAGCGGGGCGAGACGAGACGGGACGGGACGGGGCGGACACCCCACACCCCCTTCCCAATCCCGGTGTTCCTCCGTGTTTCCCCTGGGCTCTGCACCGTGTGCGTGTGTGTCCGGCGGGGTCCCAACGCCAGCAGGATGAGGATGGGGCCCCGAGGGGAGCCGCCGTCCCACTTGCCCCATGGCCGTGCAAATGGGATTGTCTGCCGCCTGCATTAGTCTGTCTGTCCATAAGCGATGTCTCATTGCCCACAGAAGACACCCAGCCAAGCTTTTCTCGCTTTCCAGAACTTAAAAGGCGCTGGCGGCGGAATCAGCCAGGAGTTTTGCTGAGACTCTTTTAATTTTTAAGTTACTTATTTGTTTGTTTCACTTTTAAAGTCTCAGGAATAAAAGGGCTGAGGCCCCTCGAAGTTTAGGTTTATGGGTGCAGAGGAGCTGTGTATAACACAGGCCAATATCTCCCTGCCCAGAATTGCATCTGAGAGCGGGAGATACTCGGCTTTACACCCCGTTTGTGCAGGAGGGTGTTAAGACAATTCTGCCTTGTAGAAAACAGCTCGGGACTCTCATGGGTGGGTCCTGTGCCAGTGGCTTGTCCCGTGGCTTGTCATCAGTATACCCCATAGACTGTAAACTGAATTTAACAAAGCCTTCCACTAACAGGGTTTTGTATGAGTGCACATGATGACACTTCAATCTCTACATGCTCTTCGGTTGCTATTAACCTCAAGCCTGTAAGCCTGTCTTTTTTTTTTTTTTTTTTTTTTTTTTTTTTTTTTTTTTTTTTTTTTTTTTTTTTTTTTTTTTTTTTGCTGTCACACATGTAGATACTGGCCTTGTTTTAATGTTTAGAATTAAACTACTTCTGGTGTGGCTTTGGACATATTTAGAGTAACTGTCCCAAGTAACAATTGTGTAGGAAACCGAGCTGGCTTTTGGGACTATAGTGCAAATTTGGGAGCTTCTGCTTGCCTCATATTTCTAGGGCATTGCACTGTTTGTTTAGTGAGAACTTGTTCTTTGGTCCCTTCCTAAATGTTTCAAGTGAATTTTCCTCTGCTGAGGAAATGCCCTTAACAGACTGTAAGGACTGATACATAGTGCTTAGGTATTCTGTATCTCCACTTCCTTAATGCTGCTAAAATTTTTAGTGGGTGCTGGCCTGTGGCATTGTATAATGTGTCTATTACATTTTAAAAGGGACTTTCTGATATTATCATGCAATACTTTTAAACATTCCTCTGGAATGGGCACACCTAATGACCAGAATGAGGGACCTCTCTGTTTTGCATCAGCATGGCTTTAGTGAGACAACACTTAYGGAAAGTGGAATTGCTGTCAGAATGCTGGTCAGATTGCATGCTCCTATTTTTTTTTCCTTCTCAGCTTAATAGCTGGATAGTTCAGAACTCCTGAGTATTTCCTAATACTTGGAATTAATAACTATAATCCAGGTGACTGCCTGCTAGCCTATTTCTCACTTGCTGAGTGGTTTGAACTGAATATTAAATCATAACTGAAATAGCAGTTATTATGAATACTCAGTACAGATGTATTATTGTTGATTAATGCTCTCTAGGGTTTATGTTCATTTTGGAAACTTACAACAGTAGCTATATTTGACAGGGAAATAACTGGGTAGCCTTAAGTGCCTGGTGATGTAAGAATTAATGTGGTCAAGTTACAGCCACGTTTATTTTAACCAGATTACTGTCTCATTAAAATACCAACCCACCCCCACTGCTGAAAATCAGATTCACTGTGAGCATTTGTATCATGGATGGGTGCACATCAACTGGGACTTTTCCAATCCTCCTAGCCAGGCTGTCTTGCTTACTTTTGACTGCTGGCAAGCTACAGCAGAGACAACCAACTTGTTGCTTTCTGCATGTTTTAAAATAAAAATTCTTGGTCAGTGCTTTTGGGATGGCTTAGGAGTTGCATGTTTGTGTCTCTGACCAGTTGTAGAACTGGTCATTTTCTTTGCTTGGGATGAAGGGACAGCAAAAAGTGTTCATGGTTGAGGATATATTGTGTCATGTTCGGTTTTTTCCTTCCATTTCTCTATGATGTGTTTCAGGTGATGTGAAGAAAAATAATTTCTTCAGCATAGTTTTGCAATATTAAGTCTGATTTTATAAAGCCTTTAKCTTAATTAATGATGTAATGAATGGTTGAATGGGGTACTAGAACAACTTGTACAAATCCTGCTGGTTTGCTCACTAGTTGTGTGTGTACTCTACATTTCTGGTTGTCTATTTGGAACATGTTGGAAAGGTTAAAGCAGATGTTATCCTACTGA